TGTGGTCTCCTTGTTTTACAATGCCTCGCCCCCTTGTTTAGTTTTTGTTTGTCTACTTATGTTCACCTGGGGCCTGTTTCAGAAAGGAGGTTAAGTGAAAACTCAGAGTATTTTAACCCTGAAATGAGAGAAACTCCGGGTTTTCCGTTTCAAAATGGCAGGTTTGTTAAACTCGAGAAAGCAGGGTAAGTCAAGCCTGTTTCTAAAAGAAAGGTAACTTTAACTCAGAGTCAGTTACTGTGGTAACTTACTCTGTGAATCTAACCTGGTCAGAAGCAGGTTTTATTCTCTAAACTCAGAGTTTCTGTCGGTCTCCTCCCCTTTTTTAAAGATGAAGCGGTATTTCTCCCCTTAGCCTTACGCCTCCACACACCTATTTTAATGCTTATTTTGGATACATGCATAAAAACGATTGATGGAAACGTCATGATGCACATAACTTTTTAAAATGTGTAAAAACGCGCATAACTGAGTAGGATACACTTTTATTCGATAGAAAATGAGCGCATAAACTACGATGGAAACACTTTTACTGAACAAATTACAGTATGTACATTAAAAAAAGATCATGATCATATGATAATGAATGTGTGTAAATGAACAAACCAGCAGGCTGAGCACACTGTAAGACGTCTTAAATATTGTTTTAGTCATTCTAAAATGCCTTTACTGTTTCAGTATTAGTGTATATTATTAATTACCTCCGAACGTCTGGTGCGTGAGTCTCCGCGTCTCATGGCTTCAGACGCCCCCACGTGTTCATTGTGTTTCAGCATTGTCTTCTGACATCGAGGCGCAAGTACATTAATTAGGCTAAATAAAGAATTAATTCACGCAGCTTCTTCTACCACAGTAAATTCTGTTTTTACTGTTGATATTTGGTGCCAGTTCAATCAGAAAGTGACAATTTTTTTTCTCTTTGACTCGTTGGATAGAATTTTATTCGCATCTTTTATGCAATATTCCAGTTTTGCACATACATTTATGTAATATATTTGGATGGAAACATAGCTATTGCCTACATTTTAGTCACACAGGGAAGAACTGTACGAGAATGGCTTATCCTTTTTTAATAAATAATTAAATTAAATTCACCTTCGACATGCACTGTAACTACATTAATGGGATTATTATTCTTTCTAAAAATTATCTTTAGTACTGCTTACCTTCTAAATGTTATATTAACCTCTATCACTTGATCAATAAAAAAGGCAGACACACAAGTGCACTGTTAAATCATTTAAAACTAATAAATGTATAAAAAAAGTTTAGAAAAAAAATATAAACGTCACAAATTACATTACTTATTTTATTCTACTTAAATATTTAAATACTTAAAAAGTGAAATTAGGCATTGACTTGAGCAGCTGTTTTCCCACGCTAACTGTCTCTTCTTCACTGATGGTTGCTTCTTTTCAAATATATACGCTCAAATTTGCTATAACTTTGCATGAGAACATCAAGTTCAGCTGGAGAAAGAAATGCTGATCTCTTTTATAAGATATTGCCATAGTCACTCGTAATGTCTGCGCTCCATTGATAATGCCTTTTTAAAGTCACGGTGTGCGCGCTTAACTCTGAGTTGATCTACTCGAAGTTGATTGACCCAACTCAGATCAGCTGTTCTGAAACCGAAAACTCAGAGTTTTTAATCTCTCAGTAAATCATCTCAGAGTTCAAGTTTAAACTCTGAGTTGTTTGAACCTCCTTACTGAAACAGGCCCCTGTTCCTTGTGCTCTGTACTCCCTTAATATTGTGCTCAATTCCCCCTTGTCCTTGCCAGTTCGTCACACTCTGTTTTTGTGTGCTTGTCTAGCTAGTCTTATTAGTAATTGGTAGAAGTATTTTATACAGTGTACATTTTTCTAGTCTGATTCTAGTACTAGTCTTTTTTCTTTTTTCAGCAAGGCTGCTGTCATTATAAGTTTTATTTCTGTTTGTAGTTTTCATTTTGCCATTTTTGTAATCCCCAGTCCCAGTGTTGTCCTAGTCTTTTGTTAGTTCTTTATTTTAGTTCCTTTTGCTGTGTTTTGTTTTCTGTTTTATTTCTAGCGACAGCTTATTTCTTTTGGCCCTTTGTTTTACGCTTTTAAGAGTTTTTTTAATTTAGTTCTTTATTTGTTTCACTCTATTTTTAGAGCTCTATGTTTCCCCTCTTAAATATTACTTGTTTCTTTGTTTTAGTTTGTTTTTGCTTGCTCTTGTTTTAGATTTTCTTGTCTCACCAGGGGCCTGTTTCAGTAAGGAGGTTCAAACAACTCGGAGTTTAAACTTGAACTCTGAGTTGATTTACCGAGAGATTAAAAACTCAGAGTTTTTGGTTTCAGAGTAGCTGATCTGAGTTAGATCAATCAACTTTGAGTAGACCAACTCAGAGTTAAGCGCGCACACCGTGAATATAAGAAGACATTATCAATGGAGCACAGATATTACGAGTGACTATGGCAACATCTTAAAAAAAAATAGATCAGCATTTCTTTCTCCGGCTGAATTTGATCTGCTCATGCAAAGTTATAGCAAATATGAGTGTATATATTTAAAAAGAAGCAGCCATCAGTGAAACAGACAGTTAGCGTGAGAAAACAGCTGCTCAAGTCATTCTAATGCGTAATTTTTAATTTAAAGTATTTAAATATTTAAATATAATAAAATAAGTAATGTAATGTGTGACGTTCATAAAATGTTTTAAACTTTTATACATGTTTAGCAGTTTTAATAGATTTAGCAGTGCACTTGTGTGTCTGCCTTTTTATTGATCAAGTGATAGAGGTTGATATAATATTTAGAAGGTAAGCAGTGCTAAAAATACTTTTTAGAAAGAATAGTAATCCTATTAATCTAGTAACAGTATATGTCAAAGTTTAAGCTAATTATTTATGAAAAAAGGACAAGCCATTCTCGTACGTGACTTTGTTCTGTGTGTGACAAAAATGTAGGCAATATCTGTTTCCATCCAAATATATTACATAAATTTGTGCAAAACTGGAATAATGCCTAAAAGATGCGAATAAAGCAGTGTTTCCATCCAACAAGTCAAAGAGAACACAATCGTCACTTTCTGATTAACTTGCGCCAAATATCAACAGTAAAAACAGAATTTACGCCGGTAGAAGAAGCTGCGCCAATAATTTTTTTATTTAATAAATGTACTTGCGCCTCAGAAGACAATGCTGACACACAATGATCACGTGGGGGCGTTTGAAGCCATGAAACGCGGAGATCTTGACACGCTCCAGACACTCAGAGGTAATTAATAATATATAATAATACTGAAACAGGTAAGGCATTTTAGAATGACCAAAACAACAGTTAAGATGTTCTATAGTGTGCTCAGTCTGCTGGTTTGTCCATTCACACACATTTTCATCATCATCTCTAACAAACCTTTTTTTAATGCACATACTGTAATTTGTTAAGTGTTTCCTTCGTAGTTCATGCGCATCTTTTCTTATCAAATAAAAGTTTAACCTA